ATATCCATTTAAATAAATATTATCCACGGTAGGTTTGTCTCTCTGATTCTCTCAAAGACAAAAAAAAAAAAACCAAAAAAAAAAACCCAATAATGCGTATTGTTTGGGATTGGTCTCAAACCTTCTTCTGCACCATCCCACCTGACTTCGACTTGTGTGCACACAATCAAAGGTCCACTTAGTATGACTTGCAAACAGTTTTTTAATTGTAGTTTACAGTTTATGAGGTAAGTATGTAAAAAGAATTTGTCTTGACTTATAAAACTTGTTTATAAATACTTATTTAAGTGATTGCAAACAAGCACCAAGTCAACCTGACCTGAACAATTCGAGGCTTCCCTTGATACAATTTTAACTAATGGACTTTTCAATTTAATTGGGGAAAAAAGAAAATTGGGGATGAAAATAACAAAATCCCGCTTGTTCATCACCTTAAAGATTGAGAAATAAAAATCACAAAGGAAAACCTATTAAATACATATGTGAGAGATAAAATAAATTAACTTTTTATATTTAGAATTAAATTCACACTACTAATTTTCAAACATACGATCGCCCAATGCCAAAAATGATCGCTTATTGATTTTAATCTTTTATTACTAATTATTTACATTCAATTTTTAGAATTTTAGGTTGCTGTCTGATGTCCCACAATTACATTGAAGTCTATGAACAATACCTCAACGTATCTGCTTTATACGTCTTGTGAGTTAAATAAAACGGGTATTGCTTGGGATAGGTCTCTCTTTTTTTTTTTTGAAAAATGATAAAAAAATATTTGTAAAATTTCAAAATGATAAATATAAAGATGATTTTGATAAATTTTAACGAGTCAAAACCATTATGAGGATAATAAAAACCATTATAAAAATAATCAATATGACCTCTATATCTTTTCAAAATTTAATAGATTCTTTTTTGTTACTTTTCTTTTTCTTTCCTTGAACCTTCCCACACGACTTCACCTTGTGTCCACACAATCGAGTCAAGTCAACCCAGCGCAAGTAGTACTCCGAATCCTCGCTTCATATGCTCCGTGCAATTTTAACTTATATTATGGGCTTTTATTTTAGTTGGCAAAAAAAAAAAAGGAAAACTAAGTGACGAAAATAACGAAATCTCAATTGTTCATCACCTCAAGGATTGAGAAATAAAAATCATAAGTTCTTGTTAAAATATCATCTTTCGTAAAAGACAAAAGTAAATGAGAAGAGAATTGAAATAATATAAGATCACATGTGTTAATTTATAATTAGTACCCTCCATATGTTGCAATGTATATCGTTTTCAGTTAAGCCTTCCATATGTTTACTTTCAAGTTGAGCATTGGGTTTCTAGCTAGGCTAAGAGAAGAAGAAAACGCAGAACTAGCCCCCCGGGGGGGGTGATTTATTGTTTAAGAGTGAACAAAAGGCGGTTGTATTTGGTTTGCAACTGATTAAGGCCCCGTTTGGATTAGTTTTTTAAATTATTTATAAATATATTTTACGTAAACCGGATTAAGCTTTTTGCATATACTTATCTCGTAAACAAGTCATTTAAAACGGGCCCTAAAGTTATTTGTGTTTCCAAATCAAATCAAATCAAGCATGAAAACCAACCCAATATCTATATTATGTCATTCGATTCGTTTTGCATCAACACTCTCACATGTGCTTCGTCTACTGATAAAATCTAGATGTTCTGTTATAGTCAATATCTGATCAATGCCAGTACCTGCTATTCGTCTAAATTTTCAACCATGTATCAAAAGAAAAGTTATCTTTTCATGTAGGAGCCACAATACACAAGCCTTAGGCCTTGGGCTCTGCAGACTAAAATAGATTCAGGACTATGAGTAGGGCCCCAATATTCTATCTCAGACATTAGGACTAGTAAGCTCATTGCTGTCTTTCTGTGTCTCAAACCAAAACTTGAAATTGGTCTAATTGCATCACCAGCAGCAATCATTATAATGCAATGAATGCAAATCAATTTAACCTCTAGTTATTAGTTGAAGTAGACGGCAATTAGATAAACAAACGATAAAAATGGCGTTTGCGTCGAAAAAAGACTGCTTTCTCACCTGCAACATATCAATATATCTATTTGCAGATCATAAAATATTGGTGGATGACGTTGTCAAAAAGTGAAAGAACAAGAGACACTAGAGTGAGCAGGGGGCCCACTTTGCTCCTTCCATGCCCCTTCCCTCACCCACTCCTTCTCATAAATTATGGTGTTATATGAAATAGAAGCAAAAGACACATATAATGCTGTTATTGACTAGCAAAGACTTGGAAAAATGAATGTGAAACTAAGAAAATGCTAATTCCACCTAAAACTCATATTTCTCAAGTGGAAACCTCCATGGTCCTTCTCGCATGACTTTGACTCGTCTCACCACAGTCAAGCCAAGCTTGGTTTAAAGTTCCTCTGAGTCTTTCTTGAATAAGCTGCAGTTTTTAACTTCGATTCTTATAATTTTTCCTTCTAAAAAGAGTAACTAGTATTTCCATAACTTACTTGCAAATATACGAGAGTGTGTGTATTAATAATTCATCCATCAAAATTAACTCCTGAATTCTAGAAAATTAGCGTAACTAATTTATTTAATAAAAATCATCAAAATCTTTTCAAAAGAAAAAAGAGGCAGGCTGATCTTATAAAGCAAATAGTGGAACTGTGAAGAACAGGGCATGAACAGAGGAGATCTTAAGTGTGGTGAGATAAGGAACTATAACCTGAGGGCTTCCAAAAGGATGAAGAATTGGAATATGAAAATACTGAAAATAATTGTCACCATCACTGATTCCAAAGAGAACTTCAAAACCAAACAATGCAATTGTTTTCTTTTTCCAATTCATGTTAGGAAAGAAGTAACATGTGACAAGCTTTTGGCTAATCTCAGTTTTGGCCAACTTCAAATAGCAAAATTCAATTTTGGCTAACTTCAATCTCTCTAAAGCAATTTGCACAGCCAATTCTATCCAAACTTAATTAGAAAGTTATTCATAAAAAAGTTATTATTGGAAAACATTGCTCATTTTTTAACGTAAAAGTTACAAAAGCTGGTTTGACCCAGTTAAAATAACCAAAGTTAATATTTTCGCCCCATCGACTTGAAAATTGACCATTAACCAAAAAAAAAAAAAAAAGACCGCCATTGTTCATATTATTATGTCATTGAAAAGGCATGTTATGGTAGCTATCAAATAAACTAGATCAACTACACTATAGCGATGCTACCTAGGTCGACCTCTATTGAGGAGCTAATTACTAAACCTCTAGCTAACTAAATATTAATCACAAATTAACCAAATGGGATGCAGTGAGCTGAATTAACGATTTTAAACTAGTATAAGCTAGTATACTTTTTATGATTTTCCAATTTTACGAATGAAATGGATCGTGGAATGGGTAATAGGAGACTTCCTTGATGAACGACTACTTACTTAACATTCCTAGTTCTACTTATGTCAAGTCAATTACCTAACTAAGCAATAGAGCTAGAGAGACACCTTCCCTAGCCAACGCTAATAACTCCCAAAATTCACCTAGACACCTACATTCTTCCTTTAGTTCATTGGAGATGCTTTAAAGTGCTTAGCTCATATTAGACTCGCAGAAGGATATCTACACTAATAATCAGACCTAGACACCTAGCTAGCAGTTTAATCAAGAGCTTTAGAACGTGGAGACTTGATCAAAATAGCAAAGAAAGTGCCACAAATCAATCAACAATCCACTGAATGCAACATCTAATATAAGTAACAATCTCCAGACTACACATGCCACTGATAATCCTCAGCTTTACACATTAAATACAAATTCCACAGATACCTAGAAACTACAATCAATATGCATAGAGATTGAAACCTTTAACAGGGAACAATTAAAATCCCCTATTGCCTTGTGGAACTCAGCTTGGCTTCATCATCATCAAGGAATGGAAGCCCCTACTGCTCGTGGACGAAGACAGCACCTCACCGAGGTTCGCAAGACTCTCGGCCATAGTGCCCGGCAAGGGAAGACGGAATTGCGATTCAAGGAGGAGCAGAGATGGTGGAATTAAGAGGACGGAGGTGGTGGATATGGAGAGGATGATGACTGGAAGTGCGATCTCGATTTAGATATGGGAACCCTCAGCAAAAACGCAGCGTTCCATGTCCGTCGATCCTTCATCGTCGTTTTGCCGGATTGGTCTTTTTGGTTCTAGACTAGACTCCAGAGCCCGCAAAATGCCTCCTTGGCCTCCCAACGACAATCACCTGCACACACCATCAAACCATGCATTACATCCCCGTAAAAAATCACACACACGACACAAAAGGATTAATATAATTTTTAGTCCTTCAAATTTATTCTTATTTTGGTTTGATTTCTCAATAGGTAAAGTGGTCTAAATTTTTATTAAATTATAACGACCAGTATTTTAAATGAAAAGAAATTTAAAAGACTAGAACTTATAGTTTAAAACTTAAGAGACCAAAACTAAAATAAAAATAAATTTGAGAGATGAGAAATTACATTAACCTAACCTAAAATTATATATGTAATTATGTAAATGTACAATAATGAGCTCTGTCAGTCATATTTGAGTATTGGTGGATCTAATCATAAAAAGTTCTATCCCCACTCTCCACTACATTTAATTTCCACAGGTGTTAGCTTGGCTCAAAAGTCAAAAACATAAGAAACATAAATAACAAGAGTGGGGGAGGGGTTAACCTTCCAACATATTAATATTGGCATTTTCCTCTGGTCAAGAACCAATATAATATTGATATCATACTAAAGTATTGTTCCAATCGTAATTATGATAAATTATTTCCAATTATTTTATGAGGCTGAAAAAACGATATAGTTTGTGTGGAAATATTAAAAGTTGTAAACAAAAATAATTAATTTTTAAAAGTTAATAAATACTTCACTTTGTAGTGCAAGATAGTGAATATATGGAAATTCATTAATTTGTTTGAGAGTATGAATATATAATATATAAAACCAGAGACAATACATTAGAGGAATTTGTGTGGAATACCGAGGTTTGGATCTAAACGTGGGTCTGGGAGCGTTATTGGACCATCTTTCGTGAATGCGGTTTGGAAATGCCATGGGCTCCCAAGGCCTGTCATCAGCACCGGGTTATGATCAACAACCTGCACAATGTGTTGCAGCCCTCAATCAACACAATAAGAACCCATCTATCCGCCAGCCCCCAAAAAAAAAAAAAAGGAACCCATCTATCCATTTACTCTCTTACATCAGAATGCCCCTAGCTAGTTGATACTTCATTTTCTTTCGTAAGTGAAAAAAAGCTCAATTTTCACTTTGCTAAGAAGGTCACTACTCCTATAGTTACTCTATCTCATTCTGTATAGTGTTAGGAAAGAATAATTGTAAAAGAGTACTATCTCTAATGCATAGTTTAAAAATTGGTTAAATTTTTCTCACACATTAAGAAATAGAAGTGTAGTCATTAAATGTGTTCTAAAATGATAAAGTCTGCTCATTTTATCCTAAAGAAATGATAAAGTTCTTTTAGTATTATATTTTTATTATCTCACATATTTCTTCTATATTTAATAGGGACAAAAGTGAGAAAAGCACATTAATTATCCCCTAATGTCTTATATTTTGGATTATAGATTTCTTTTAACCAATATCTTATATTATAGGACCAGAGGGAGTGTTTGACTAATTGCACACATTTTCTTAATACTAATAAATTAGTTAAAATGGTGCTATGTATGTTTAGGACTTAAAAGAGTATGTATAATGCGGGTTAAGTGTTTACAAGATAGAGGGATGGAGGAGGTAGCTTGAAATAAAAATGAAAAAAAGTGAGTTTAATGAAAGAGACTTACTCGGTCCGTTTGTTGTTCCAATATTGGAAGGAGACTTTGACTCTTTGAGCTGCCACTGTTTTCAACATCAACTTTGCGAATGACATGCCATCCACACTTTATTAAAACTTCCGCATTGTCGGGACGGGCTGTAAATACGAAGGGAATCTGACTGTACTTCCTTGATTGCCACATATCACGGTAATACTTTGTTGGATAGTAAAATAAGACCCAGAGGTGACAAGACTTTCTTTTCTTCCCACCCTTACAATTGGACGCTGGCATAGCATGGTTTCTGTGACGGGGACCCATAATAAACCCACAACCGCGCAACCGCCACAAAAGCAACCTCCCTTCTCTGAAATAAAAGTTACTTTCTAGAAGAGTGCATAATCCAATTCCCAATATTTCTTCGCAAGGGGGTATGTCTATCATCACTAAAGCGTCGCCTTTGTGATCCCGATAAAGATCGACTTGATTCTCAAACCATGGCGATATTTCACTTGCAGCAATATTCATCTCGAAATTAGTAAGTGAAAATTCCTAAATCGAAAAATAATCACGTATCAAATTATATAGTATGATTAAACACAAAATAAATACATATAATTATATGATGATATATGACTATATGTATATACCTGGTCCCTTGAAGCAAAGAGATGTGATAATTGTTCACCTTCCACTGTATCCAATGAATCACATTTTTCTGCACACATACTCGTTACTCTGGGCGGAATCTGTGGCAACGACTGAAGTTCCATGCAAGAATTCATCACTAGAATTCCCAAATTCAAAAGATTTGATATGCAGCCAGCAGGTAGATTCTTAAACTTGTTTCCACTTAGATCTAACCACCACAACGATGATAAGCCACCGAAGTCATCTGGAATGGATCCATCATCAATACCGCAGTAGCTTAAATCCAATTTTTTTAGTGATTTAAGATTGAACATTGAAATAGGCAATGTTAAGCCCTTATGAATTGAATGCCTCCAAGGAAGAATCATGCTCCAAGAGTTCAACGTTGACCTTTCGCACCCATGGAATGACAATTTCTTGAGTTTTTCTAAACCACCAACGGAACAAGGTATTTCTGTTATATCAGTTTCACTTGCGTCCAGCTCCTCCAAGGCTTCAATTTCATTTAACTTCTCTGGCAATCTAGCAAATTTTGAGCACCCAGCAATATCAAGAAGTACAAGACATTTCAAATTGTGAATGCTTCGAGGAAGGCAAACAAGATTTTTGCAACCCCTTAATTTCAAAGTTTTGAGACCAGTCAACAAGCCAAGTGACTTGGGAAGTTTGACTAAATTTGTCTCCCCAGCATCAAGTGTTTCTAGATTTTTCATACTTTCCCCAAACTTTGGGAGAAATTTTACTCGAGTGCACCCACAAAGAACAAATTCTTTCAGCGGAGTCATTTCCAGTTTTTTGAGACAATGGGCTGTAAGACTTTTGCAACCTTTCAAGTTCAATACCTGAAGCTTTTTGTGTTGTCCAATTGAAGCATGAAGGTCAATAAGTTTTTCACAACCTTCAAGTGCTAGTTTTTCCAGATTTGGGAGTTTAGAGAAATCAGGAGTTTCAATCAAGTTTTTGGAAAAACTCAAGTCCAAAAACTTCAGATTCTTCAAGCACTGGTCAAACAAATGTATGAGAACCAATGAAAAAAATATGTATTTTGCTAACTATGATAATCAATGACACTATCAACAACATCAAAGGATAAGATATCTTACCAAGCTAAGTTTCTTTAATTTGCTATGATGCATTCTAAGATCAACAAGTTCATGCAGTCGAGTTCCAGAAGGAAGAGTGTCTAAAGGATATTTTGTCCAATAAAGTACTTTCAAAGCATGAGAAAGACATTTGAGGCCAATAGGAACATGGAAATCACTTGATATCATGAGTAATCTAAGGTTATGCAATGTTGAAAATGCTTCAGGATCCCAAAGTACCTCACAAGATGTGGACGAAATCACACCTTGTATTTCTCTTGTGCCTTGATAAACAACATTATGCAATGTTGAAAATGGCTTACGACCACAAAATGCCTCACAAAATTGGGACGAAATCATACCTTCTATTTCTTTTGTACCCTGATAAACAAGATGAGCCACAAGAAAAATGGTATCAAATTTACTATACAATAAATTAATGAGATGTAAAATACATTAAAACCTAATAACATGTAAAATATATTAAAACAATTAGAGATAAGATCGATACTCACCCAATTGTTTTGCATAACTTTATCAATATCTTCATTAGTCCACAATCTACTACGATTTCCAACACAATTAGAGGACTTGTCCACAACAATTTTCCTACCCATTTGTTCCACCAAATCATGCATCACCAAAATACTGTCATATTCCTTCAGCATAGACTTTTCATGGAGAGTTGTTATTCCAATTTTTGCATTAAAACCACAACTTTCTAATATTTTTGTTATTTTGTTTTTGCGCCAACCATTGAAGAAGCAAGCAATATCTAAAAATATTGCTTGTTCTGTATTGGTTAATGCATCAAAACTTATTTTAAGTATCCCAAAAATATCTTTATGGGGATCTTTCTTCAACATTCCCAAAGCATCTTTGCTCAACATATCTAAAGCATCTTCCCATTGTACAGTACTTCTTCCATAGAAAAAGGAGCCCAAAACAGAGAGAGCTAAAGGAAGGCCTCCGGCATAATCACAAACAATTTTAGACAGCTCCAACAAATCCTTCTGAGGCTCACTTCTTCTAAATGCTGTCTGACAAAAGAGTTGAAGGGCTTCATTTGGGTTCATAGTTTTAACCTCATGTTGATATGCTACACACGCTCCGCGCAACAAGTCTAAATGCCTAGTTGTTATGATCACTCTACTCCCAGCACCAAACCAGTTTGGGCTATTAGCCAAATTTTCTAGATGGGTTGTATGGCTAACATCATCAAGGATAAGTAAAACCTTTTTATTGCAACAACGGTTTTGGATTATTTTCTTCCCTTCATAACTGTTTTCAATCTTCATGTTTCTTATTTTGAGATTTGAAAGAAATAGACTTTGTAACTGAACCTCGCCACCATCTCTTTCTGAAGTTGCCCTAACATTGTGAAGAAAGCAACTAATATCAAATTGGCTACGATATTTTTCAAAAACAGCCCAAGCAATTGTTGTCTTCCCAACACCCCCTGGGCCCCATATTCCTACAAACCGAACATCATTCGAAACTATCTCCAACAATGGCTCCAGTTGTTTCACTTTATTGTCAATTCCAATGAGTCCTTCAGTATAAGGTGGCAGTCTAGGATGAAATTTGGTCCACAGCTCCTCAACCACTGTCTCAACAAGTTCTGCTTCAGACCTACAAGTTACAACAACGTATGAATGGCCATGTGAAATATAAATTTTGATTTATTATGCAATTATACTACCTCTGGTCCTAATTATAGGACCTATAAACGATGTCTTATAATTAGGATTGAAAGTAATATAATATTTGTTACTCCAATGTCTGCAATTGTTAATATTCTTTTCCTTTTGTATTATCAACACATTGAAACAATTTCATGCAGTTCTTGTTCATTTTTTTTTTCAACGGGCGCTTTAATTTAATTGTGATGTTAAAACTTTTCAGTTCAAGGATAAAAAGTTGTGGATGTGAAAAAAAATATACAAATTAACAAAATACAAATTTAAAATTTTAAACTTTTAACTTCGAATACAAGAAAAAAGGAATAGTTACAAAATTTATAAGAAGAAATGACAACATAACTAAAAAATGACCAGGTACTATAAAGTTGATTCCACAATACTCAAATATAACTAATAGCACTAATGTCAAATAATTGTATTGAAAAAGTTTTACAATTCTTTTTTCCATAAAATTTAGCAGTGAGAACTCACTTATTAAATAGTGGGAAACAAAAATGGAAAGAACAATTGAATAAACAATAAGAAGAATCATGACACTTGCAATACAAGGTATAATTGTGTATTACAACTAAAATGATCATCTTAACAATTAATTTTTTTAGTTTTTAAAATAAGAACAAATAGATGTCAAATAAATAGTCTGAGTGCATCTAGATCAATATATGTTCCATAAAATGATTATATAAATATAAAATATTTGTTGCATAATTTTACCCAATAAGAAATTGACTCACCGATCCTTGCAATCCCAACCTGATAAGTTCGAAACTTTTCTGAGAGAATCTCTCCAACTTTCCATGATATCATTGTCCCTTTGAAGCATCTGATGCCCAGCAAAAGCTTCGGTAAAACTTTCTCTTTGATGCCGTACATCAGATGGATTTACATCATAAAATATGGGGAAAACTTGTTGAGACAAATTGTTTCTTGAGTAAAGAATATGCTTAAGCTCATCTAAACACCATGAAGAAGAGGCATAATTTTTTGAGAGAACAACAATTGCAAAAAGAGAATCCTCAATTGCTTGTTTGAGTTCTTCGGAAATGACCTCTCCTCTCTCAAGTTCTTCATCGTCTCTAAAGACTGTGAATCCACTCCTCTTTAACGCATGGTACAAGTGGCCAGTGAAGCCTTTACGAGTGTCTTCACCCCGAAAACTCAAGAAGATGTCATACTTCCAAGTTCTTTGGGTTGAATTGGAGTTGGAAGAGTTTGAAGAAGATGCTGCTTGGTTACTTGCCATAAATGTTCAAGCCAATAATTTGAAGAACCGGCAATATTACGACCTGCAACACAACTAGACCATTTCATTTGACTAAAGGAAACAAATGAAATATGAGATGATCAGATTGCAAAGGAAAAAAAAAATGGAAAAAAAAATAGTGGAAGCTGTAGATGTATGATATACTGATCTGGGCTTACAGCTAGGGGTGAAGTGTCTTAACTCTAATTCTTAATATATACAAGCTTTCAAGTGTCTACCTTCCTGATGGTGTTATTAGATGGCTGAAACTAGAATTTTCTGGCAAGTTTCTCACAATATCTCTCTGTTCCTTTCCTATCTTCCTCTTTTCCTCTCTCTTTGTCTGCAATAAGGGAAGAGAGCTAAAGCCCTACTTATTGTGAAAGCTTGTTTGGAGAAAAGGCCGAAAGGGTCCACAGTCTTTCTTCCATGCTCCTTCCCTCACCACGACACGCCAGTGATCACTTTGACTTGCATAACCAGCTTTTTTTCCCCACAATATTTTCCCATTTTACAGCCAGTAATCCTCTGCCTCACAAGATGTGCTTGATGATGTGTGCGTGTGCGTGTGCATGTTAGTAATGTAGGAATGATGAGAGGCATTGGATAGGAAAATGCGTCCGTATTCTTCTCACACGACCGCGGTCAACCTGATGTTAGGCCTGAACTTTCCAATTCTTCTCTTGATGTGGTCCGTACAACTTTGACTATCCTAAATAGTGTGCTTAAAAAATTAGGGAGAAAATGAAGGGTACAGATTCTCTGCATTAAGAAAAATAGATAGTTCAGGCTCTCCCCTCCCAATTAACTTTACTTGGAATTTTCAAAAGATAGGCAATTTTATGACTAAACTCTATTCCAAAAACACCAATGCTCCAAATAAACGTAATATGCAGATGAAAAGCCCCCTCTATTGAATAAACCAAAGCTCCCTCCCTGTGCTTACAGGAGCAGCAGCTTTTCTTTTTAAAAGCGAACGTGAATGGAAAGCAACGTGTGAAAATATGAGAGAGCTTCGCCTTTAATGCGTGTTGCCTGGGATGTGTCCCTATTTTTTATTTTAATCGGCAAAAAGGAAATAGTGAACGTGAATGGAAGGCAACGTATGAAAATATGAGAGCTTCTTTTTTTTTTTTTAACTAAAATGTATGAATCCTTCTATTAGAGGTAATCTTATTCGAGGCACTATTAGATACTAAATGTGAACACCTTTCCTAATAAGAATTTAAACCTTGATTCGTCAAATTGTGAAGGACTAGCTTCCTCTTTGATACGTGTTGCCTAGGATGTGTCGGTATTTTTTTAATAATTACTACCCTCAGTAAGTTGCACTGTTTAGACTTTTTAAAAGTTCACGGTAAACCTCCTTAAACTTTGCACAAAACTTTCACACTATTAGTTTTTATTATTTATTTACGGATGATTTAAACTTTAATTAAAGAGTTAAAATATAATTAAGTCAGAATTTTAGGATATTTTATGTACATAAAAATAAAATTAATGGTTTTAAGTATTTATATAATTTTGCTCTTTACTTTCATGATGCTCGCGAAATTATCATAATGAAAATGAAATTCGTCACTTTTTAACCGGAGAAAAGAAGAGTCCGTAATTTGCTTTATGATGTGGCCATGTGGGCACGCATGATGGGGGGGCAAGGATGGGTCCCTTCCTGTTCTTCTCACATGATGGTAAACACCAAATTTGTCTTGTTAAAAACTCTTACGCAACACAAGAATAGTGAAAAATCTTTATCTTTATAGATTTGAGTATTAGAGTTATTTTATAAAATTTTAAAATTTTTTTTTGGATCATATAACTTGATTAGGATTTTGATAAATTCAATAATACAAATAAGAATTTGAGTTATTTTAATATCTTTCCAAAAAGATTTTTCCTAAAAAATTGAACATTTTTACGTGGTTATATAATTCTTCTTAATACCACTACAGTCCCTAGACCCAACAATCATGTGTGTGTGTGTAATAGTTACAATTTTTGGGATAAGGTCCTTTTTTATAAGTTACCGTTTGTACTTATCTAAAAATTTAATATATTTTTTAATTTTTATCCTCAATTAATTACATTGTCTCTCATCTTTTTTATGCCTATTGTCTTGCATACTCACCCTCTCCATCTTACTCACCCTCTTCATGAATAAGGTATTATTTTTTTTTTTTTAAGAAAATACGTCTCCTACATTTTTATTGTCTTTAATTAGCCAATTTGAATTATTCAGCCAAAAAAAATTTCCAATTTGAATTAATTTTTATTAATGTAATTTAATTGTTTATAACTTATTTATACATAGGACGGAGGGAGGATCATATTGCTTGGACCATTATGTTATAGAAGAAGGCGCAAGTGTAGGTTATATTTTGTGTGCACTGTCCATTTCTAGTTTTTGAGGTGCAGTATAGATAATCTTATTTGAGACACTGTTGGATAATAAATATGACTATCTCTCCTAACAAAAATTCAAACCTTGACTCATAATATTGTGGGAGTCTGTTCCTTTCCGTTTCGCTGCTAAGCCCAATCCTCTTGGTTACTAAATTGTCTCTGATACAAAGTATAAAATATTTCTTGCTCAAAGCATTAGGGTGTGCATGTTGTGCCTTTAAGAAAATTTGATATGAGTGGCCAAGTTTTTTCATGTGCTTACAAATGCTGCAGCTTTTCTTTGGAAAAAGGAAAAAAAAAAAAAAGAATGTGAATGGGAAGAAAAAGTGTAAAATATGGGAGAGATTCTTCTTTAATGCGTGTTATTTGGGACGCGTCCTTATTCTTCTTTCATGTGCCTTCCAACACGACTTTGACTTGTAAAAATTTGAACCCTTTTATGTTTCGAACAACCACTAAAAATAAATATATAATTGGGAGTTGCTATTGATGAGTACGTACAG